TTAAGAAAAAATCTTTGTCTTCACGTTAACGTCTTTTAGGCCTTTCATTCCGAACTCGCGTGACTTTCTCTGCGACTGTACCATTCGATGTCTTTTACACGACTCCTCGTTCTCTCACCCTTTTCGGATCGACTGCCGGAAGTCCCCCCACTTTTAAACGTTATTTTTTCGTTACTTGATTTGTAAAAAACAAGTCATTCCTCTGTCCTTTTGCCTAAGCCGGGGACATCCGCGCTAATCGACCCGATTTTGTTTTTGCGTTTGACCCACTGTACATGTGGCACACGTGTGTATATCCGACTCATGCGCGCATGCACAACTGTATGTCGACCTCTAGCAGGAATCTCTTTTACGTTAACTTTCATTTTTTATATTTAATTTATTTGAGGCTGTGCGATGCAATCGCCACATGTCTTTCCTTAATATATGTTTGAGTACAACAGATCCTGTATATAAAAGAAAGTTTCTAAATTCTACAGCTTTCCATTGCTTTACATCTTTTAGAGATCATGGCTTTCTCACAAAATCACTTGGTGTAGTACATCTCAACAAAATTAACAAGTGTGATATTGTATTTATTGACCTTCTGCTTAAATGTATAGAGAGCCCTTTTATCCATAAAAGTAATAGTTTTTTGACAACGCCTTAACATATTAAATGCATATAATCTAACGGAGTATTATTTATAGGTAAAAATTCTAGAATATTATTCAAAATGGAATAGCCAGTTTGAAAATTCTTATAAGCATTAATAGCAAATAACTCGTCAGTTCTCAAAGAATATAATGTATTTAGAAAGCAAACTGTACCATTTATATACTTTCCTTTGATTGTGCATTTTGTGCAACTGGAGAATCCAGTGTGACCTTTTACATTCAAAACAAAAGATTTTGCTGGTGCATCACATATCAAACCAAATAATTTAATTTCAATTACGTTATTGTTATAAATATAACCATTACTTAAATTAATTAAATCATTGATTAAAGGTTGTAAAAAAGTATTAGAATCTTGCGGTTTTTTATCTCCAAAAAATGCACCAACCAGATATACATCATTATTAGTTGTATTCGAACATAAAATAGGCCATAACGATGCATGTGATGATTTTGATAATGGAAGACCGTCTATATTTATGAGTAAATTAATATGTTTTTCGCGAGATTTCAATAACATTTTTTTAATAACATTCTCCAAATCCGAATAAAAAATTCTCCTCCACATATATTTGTAACATAGGCTTGTCGTGGAGTTTGTAGTAATGTATTCGTATATTCGTATATCTGCTGAGAATTTATATGGTGTACTAGCGGTTACTCGGCATGCGTTGCAATGCTACTTAAAGGAAGAAAGTGCTTGTGTTTTAATTCCGCTTATTGAAGTGCTTTTGGATACACAATATTTTTGTTTTTCCATCTGGTGCGTACACGAATAAATCAGAAGGTTTTCCGACGCATGAGCAGGCCACATACAGCCATCCATGTGAGAAGCATGGATTTTCCAAAGGCCGTAGCCGGATAAGGAGAGGTGATCTGCCCCCGCGCCGACCATGACCATTTTTTACTGTTTAGTTGCTATCAATATTAGTTACAAAAAAATATAACTTTGTTCAATTTAAAGTACTTTAAGTTATTTAAATAACTATTTTAAATAACTATTATAAGTTATACATATACGTAACAAAGAAATATAACTTTGTTCAATTTAAAGTACTTTAGCGGAATTTACTAATTGTAAGCACAATGATATTTATATTTATATGTAAAATAGTATTTACTTTTTAACAATACTGGATTAATGACAAAA